AAAATACTCACTTATATTTAGAAGATTTTAAATTGAGGCTATAGAATTCTTTTGGTTACTGGTAAAGATTTTATTCAAAAATTGCCATAATCCTGCTTGTCACTTCACAAACTCACAAATATCACAAGTAAATCATATTAAATGCCCTCAATAAGTGCCTTCTCTAATATGATTAACCTATAAAAACTCCTGTTGTGCAAAACCAGCACTAAAAAACACTGCAATATATTTAGGAGATTTCTAAATATTAACTCAGTCTTTGAACTATCATTTAAAACTATATTTTAAAAATATTATGATTTTCACAAATTATTTCACTTATACATTCCATTATATTTCACTCTGATTTTTTAAATTCTACAATTATTTATATATCTATTACAGATAATCTCACAGGTATACACATCATGAATCCAACTATCTTTCTGAAATCAAGACTGCTGGATCTAGTTAGAACAAAGAAATAAATCAATTCCCCACATCATAATAAAAACTAAAAAAAGAATTGGAACAACTATCAGCAGAGGCATTCCTTTGAATATCTTTAAGTAGGGAATGAGGTGTACAGATATTGAACAGATATAGAACTATCAGGCTTTAAATTCTAAAGAGAATTCAGAGGTCCTCTAGCTCAATCTTCTATGCAGGACTTCTTTCTATATTAGAAGCTTGGTTATAAGCTGATGACCTGAGGACCATTTAAAGCACATAAATACAGTCTATTTAGTCTGTACATAAATATGCTTTTAATTAAGCCAAAACACAAAAATCCAACCCTATCATACATCATATTAACTAACTAACTGCATTTTCTTGAAAATCTATCTGGAGCTACATGCCTGGTGCCACTTTGGATGTCATGCCCTCTCTACTTCTCCACAGCTCCCACCACTTCTCAGGGACCCACTGCACTCACTCATCATCTGCCTTGTGCTCTCAGCATTTGAACATTTCAGTTGGTGAACACTGTTCCGGAAAAAGTATTATCTACATCACCACAAAAAATGGAGGAAACCCATAATTTTACAATTTCATTGAAGGCAAGTCTAAACATTAGAGAGATTTGCCTAGAATAATTTCCAGACACAGACTAGTTCTATCCTTGGAAACAAATTAAGTCCACTCTCTCTCTTCCAAAGGAAACCCTTCTAGATAGATCTGCAGAAAACTAAACTTCCTAAGTTGCTAGTTCTAATTTGACATCCCCAGAGTCCTCAAATATTCCTCATTATGTTTCCAAGCCCACTGTGGCCCTTGTCATGCATCTCTGTATGGATGAATTCTACTTATAACTTATTTCAAAGCTATTATTTATGTATTCATCTATTATCTATTCTAGTTATCACTTTTCTTCACATGCAATATGCAATACTTAGTTGATCTAGATCAGTGGTTCTCAAACTTTGGTTCTCAGGACTCCTCTACACTTTTAAAATTCGTGGAGTATTCCAATGAGCTTTTGTTTAAGACAGTTACATCTATTGCTATTCACTGTACTAGAAATTAAAATTAAATTAAAAAAATACTTTTAATTCATTCAAAAAGATGTGTCAATATAACATATTTCTATGAAAAATAAATATATTTTCCAAAACAAGATAAATTAGTAAGAAAAGTGTTTTACATATTTGCAAATGTTTTTAATGCCTGGTTTAATGAAAGACAGCTGGGTTCTTGTAATGATTTCTGCATTCACTCTATTGCAATGTAGAAAACTGGCCTTGTAAGTCCCTGAAAGTATCTCTGGGATGCCTCCAGGGCCCCCAGACCATATTTGGGATACATTGATGCTTTAATTAAGGTAGCTTGTATTTTAGTTCGTTTTCCTAGGATCCATGGCATTCTTTTCACTTATCTTGAACTTGTAGTCAACTAAAATCACCAGCTGTTTCTCAAACAAATTGCTGTCAAGCCTCCCCTTTCATCTAATTTTGTTGGTTTCAGAGAGAAAACACCATTGGTGCCATGCCCAGGTTCCCTTAAAGATGGTGTACCTATCCCCATTCAGCTGTTATGATTGTTGACTGATCACACACAGCAGCCCCCTTCCCTGAAGACTTTCTCAGTAAAACAGTAACTGACTTACTTGGGAAGCTATGTCTCCTTCTACTTCAGCCAATGGCTGACTGACAAGTAGATGATTGTCACAGATTACAAAAGACTGGCCTCAAGGGCACAAAGGGGAACTAATTCTGGATGTATGTGGTGTTCTAGAGCTTCCCAGGGGATCAGACTAAAGTTAATCTTTAGCTGAAATGACATTCTTCCTTAGCTTCTATCCCTTGTTCTGCTAAGAGTATACCCCTAATAAGAGGTCACTTGAACAGAAATCTCCATCACAGGCTCAACCAAAGACATCTTTCTTCCATCAATATTATTGCAACATCAATCCAATCCTATCATACATCTTATTAACTAACCATCTCAGCTGTGCAGCATTCTATTAGAGTGCAGTGGTTCCCAGACTGGTCCCTGGCCAGCAGCCTTAGCAACTTTGAAAACTTGTTAGAACTGCAAATTTTCACTTCAGACTTACTGAGCAAAGAACACCATCACAGAGATGTGCTGTAATTAACTAACCCATTACTGTTGTCCATTTCAGTTATTTCCATTTTATCCTGTTATAAATAGTAGTGAAATGAATATTGTTGCAGGTAAATATTTGTGTACATTTCAGATTATTTTGTATTTGCCTGCAACTTACTTTGTTGTAAAAGTTTTGCATCGAAAAAGGTGTACTGATAAATGAATAGAGGGATGGATATATAATAAAGCGAGCAGAGCAATATGTTAATGGTAGAGTTTAGGTGATGAATACATGAATGTTCACTGCAAAATTCTTTCAATTTTCTCATATGTTTAAAGTTTGTTGTGAAGTGTAAAAAATTAAAAAAAATGTTGGAAAATTTATATTTTTGAAGCTAAATTCCTGGATTTGGAATAGACTGTTCATAGTATGTGCACATCTTTCAACTTTGTGAAGTTAAAACATTAACCAGAAAGTGTCAGTTCCCTCACACTGTCAACACCACTTTTTAGTGCTTTCCAAATCTCTGCCAACTTGTTAAGCAAAAAGCTGGTAATTCATCTTTTAAGTCATCATTTCCATGTGTATTTCTTAAGTTAATATATAATGAACATGCTTGGCTTCAGATTTGATGTCAGTTATTCAAACCATGAAGTAGTAATCAAGATTTGAGCACTCACTGGGAGCACTTAATTTATTACTGAGAACAATACCCTCGAGAATAACTTGCAAACCAAATTATATTGGTGACAGTTACTTCCAGGCCAGCATTCTACACAGGCAGAGGGGGCTAGTGCCAGATTGCCAAAATGGATCTCATTTAATAGATGATGAGAAAAAGGTCTTCCTTTGGGGGGGGGGGGGGGGAGCGGGTAGCCTCTTCACCCATTTTACCAGAATACTCAGAATTCTAAGCATTTCTAAGTGATTTCTTTTGTGCTAATGCGATTAGATCCCCAAGATTCTATTTTAGAATTTAAGAATTTTACTTCAGTATGCTAGTAGGCTCTCCTTAATTATGGTGCATCCAAAGGATGAAATGTAATGAGACCATTAAAAGAGAACTATAGAATTCTACATTTACTCACATGGGAAGATGTCTGTAATATACATGCTCATTGCAAAACAAAATTATGCATGTGTATACATGACAGAAATATGTGAAAGAGTATTTATGAAAATATTAATACTAATTACCTCCAGCTAAAGGATGCATGAGAGTTTTTTTTCTCTTTTTATTTTTTCTCTATTATTTATGTTTACACTGAACATATAAACATTGTTTTTAATAACAACAAATACAATAAGGCTACTTACATTTTGATAAAAGTTACATTGAAAATATCCCAGGAAACCACTAAGCCATTACCACCCTATTAAAATTTAATTTAGCAAAATTTTCAAGTCAAGGTTAAAGTCTTCTACAGAATGAGACTCAGATTTAGCATATTTTTTTACATTTTATTTTTTTGTTTTATTTTATTATTTAAATTTTATTTTATTGTTTAAAGTATTACATATAGTAGTACATATATCTCTTTCCCCCTCCCCCTCCTCATTGACCTTCACCTAGCGTCCCCTAGCATATTTTAAAGAGCATAGGGGAAAAGAGTTAGACACAAATTAGGCAAAGAGGTTTCCAGCCAGGTATTAAGCATCAGAGTGATAGATTTGCATTGTCCTACAAATGTCCTAGAGATTTCACAGAATAAAAATCAATAGGCAATGGAAGGAAAGCATCTGTGGAAACCAAAGGGCTAAAGGCTCACTACAACTCAGAGTAAATTTCAACTTTACCACAATTCCTGCTTTCCCTATTGTAGCAGCGAAAAAGAAGGACATCTTACCTCTTGCAACTGCATGGATGGACCTGGAAAGCATTATGCTAAGTGAAATAAGCCACTCAGAGAGAGACAAGCACCGTATGATTTCACTTACATATGGAATCTAATGAACAAAATAAACTAATAAATAAAATAGAAACAGGCTCATAGACACAGAGAACACACTGACAGCTGTTAGAGGGAAAGAGGTTGGGGACTTGGTGAAAAATGTGAAAGGATTAAACTAAACAAAACAAAAAAATCCTCATAGACACAGACAACAGTTGGCAATTACCAGGGGGAAAGAGAAGTGGAGGGAGGTAAAAAAGGACACAGAGGGGGTAAATGGTAATGGAAGGAGACTTGACTTGGGTTGAACTCCAATATAATATCCAGATGATGTATTAAAGAATTTTACACCTGATTGTACACCTGTATACTTTTATTCCCCAATGCCACTGAAAAATTTTAGTAAAAAAAAAATAATACAAGAAAATATCTACTGACAAATGTTATTCACTTTTCCTCTGACAGCAGGCCTAGGATCCAATGACAGTTAATTTTTTTAAATATATATTTAATAGACTTAAATTTTTAAATGTATACTTCACAAAGACTAAAAGGAGAATATGACATGGTAAATCACTCACCTCCATAAGAAGACATGTCTGTACATGGGCAGATGTCCCTGGATGTGATACCACTGTCGCATTTTTTATTTGAAAATGTATTTTGCACATATATCCATCAGAACAGTCCTGTGTTCCATCATAAAAAAATACATAAGAAAATACCAATTATTTTAAGTATTCATCATTCTAAGAATTACAGTTACTCATAACTTCCAAACCGAGCAATGAAAAACAAAGTATATTAAATGAGATGAGATAATAGGGATAATCTCATCCAATAAATAGAAGTTTTAGTTCCTCACCTTTTTTCACTTATTGATACTCCTCCTTCTCTTAGACTAAATCCCTACTCCTCCTTTTTTCCCCTTAAGCACACCATAGAACAGAAGTCACAAAGCAAAACTTTTAGGTTGGCTGCTGTTAAAAAGCATATAAATATCTTATAGAAATATCTTGTCACATAACTAATATTGATTTTCACAACATACACAAAAAGAAAAATTTTAGGAAAACTTGCAACAAAACTTGAAACTAGGGCCCTTTCATTTCAATTACGTGATCAAGGCAAGATCTCCATTAAAATGTCCCAGGAAGGAAATCATGCAGTACCTGGTCCCAGTGAGTCTGAAAACATGCTGAACCTGCAAGGGAAAAAGGAACCTTATCCAGTCTAATCCTCCCATTTCATAGATTAGAGGGTGAAGGACTGAAGGACAGAAGCTTGTCTTACATCTAATTAGGGGCAGAGCTGGAAATGGAAGCAGGCCTGTTGACTCTAGTGTTCTTTTGACTACACTACGTAAGCAAATTCTGCCAGAGACGAGGATGGAGGCAGAAAAATGCTTACTACAGACTCTCACTTTGCACATTGAGTAATATGCTGAAGTCACTTAAGTGTGGTCTGGGGACAAGCAGCAGCCTCAGGGTGACTTGGATGGCAGCCTGTTAGGCAAAATCTCAAGCCCCACCCAGACCTCGTAAATTGGAATTTGTTTTTAACAGGATTCTAGGTGATTCACGTGCACATTTGGAGCACGAAGGCACCTTGCATGGCAATTCCTGACTCAAAGGAACTGCAAAATGTTGGCCTTGAACAGTGGTTCTCAACTCTGGCTACACATCAGAAGCACCTGGAGAGTTCTCAAACTACTGTTGCTAAAGTGCCCCTCAGACCAGTGAAGTCAGGATCTTCCCAGTAGATGCAGCAGCCAAGGTAGAGAGCCACTGCACTAAATTAACTGGAGTTCCCCTTCTGAACTCTGAGAACAGTCATCTGTTCTCTGCAGCTGCCTTGGGATAAAAGGCACAAACGGCCAACCTGCAGGAATACTGGGCTCACTGGAAGCTCTCAGGGGCTATTCTCCCTCTGTGGAGGCTTGTCTAGGAGCTGTGATGTGCTGAAATGGCTTTCTACGTGGTCTTCACTACCACCTCCAACCCTACTTTCTGCCACTTGCCCAGCCTTGACCTAGTCCTCTGTCCCTGCCATAATCTTATAACTTAAGTCTATCACTGTCCCATGTCCAACTCCATTTCAACTATCAGGATTCCTTGCTGCCCTCCACTACTGAGCAGGTTGCTTCTCATAGTTCCTATTAGAAGAGAAACTAATAGGAAATACTACAATCCAGACACTACTAACAAAAAACTCCTCACGTTATCTACATAGAATGCCCTTCACCTTATACCAATATAAGGAATAAAGATTTAAATGATAAAAACAATACCATAAATGTGCTGATGAAAACACTGGAGAATAGAAATACATACATATACTATTAAAAAGATATTTTAAAAATAAATAAAAACCTCAAAGTCATAATAAAATGCTGATAAATTCTACTTCATGAAAAAAATTCTTATCACAAAGTCAAAAGACAAACATCAAAGTGTGAGAAAATTATGTGTCATTCTTATTATAGAAAAGGACTAATTTTGTCACTGAAAAGTAGCTTTAATTTCCTCAATATATTAATAGTTTCAACAAATCAAATAGAAAAAAAGTCAACAGCTCAATAAGAAAACGAGCAAAGAATACAAACAGGTAGTTCACTAACGAGGCAGTAAATATGGATATTACTCACATAATATGTTCAATATTACCCATAAAAATGCAAATTAAAATTACATAATACCTTTTTAAAAAACTTATCAGATTGACAAAGATCAAAAAGCATGAAATACACTATGGAGACCAAGATGTGGGTGAAACAGGTATGTACTCTCATACACTGTCAGGGGCAGAGTAGCTTAAATCAGTATAACCTCCCTGAAGAGCAAGTTAGCAATAACTATCCAAATTTTAAAAATATTAATATTTTATATTACTCTGAGGAATTTATCTTACAGATATAGTTAAGAACATTAGGAAGTATAACTCATGCAATGATATGTATTAAAGTATTATTTCCATAACACAATATTGGAGTTAACATAAATGCTTATCAGTGAGGATTTTTTAATAAATTATGATGAATCCAAATAATGGAATGCTATGTAGGCATAAAAATGAGTAAGTTCTATAAATGATTGATATGGCATAAAATCAAGATAGTTCATTAAGTTAAATATGTGCAGAACTGTATGCAAGTGTACATCATGCTACCATTTGTTTAAATATAAATGTGTATGCTTGTATGTGCACTGAAAATATCTGAAAGGACATTCAAGACACTGTTATTGGTGATGACCTCTGGGTTTGGGTGAAAAGGATGGGAAGGTTAGGAAGGAAATTTCCTTTTTTAGTGCACAAATCCTTTTGTGCCTATAAATATAAACCTTTCATGTTAGACAAATACTTCATTCACTGCTCTCTGAACATATGTCTCCAGGCCATCACATTGCTGCAATCCATTCCAATCTTAAACTTCTAGGGAGAAAATGTCCTCCAGGCTTTATAGAACCCTAGGGAGATAACCAAGTTTTCTGGTTTGTGCTGACTGCATACTGGATGGAGATCTAAGGATTTCCTAACAGAACATGTCTGAGTCTGCTTTCTTACAAGCTGTCATGGGCTATGCCACCCAGGGAGCTGTATTATGCCTATTTGAATTCAACTACCCGAAAACTATAGGGCTTCTGTTGTTGAGTTTTAATAAGCTTTCAACAATCTTGTCTAGAAAAAAACCCTTATCTAAAATAATTGGGTGGTTATCTCAGGGCCTAGCTCTACTTTGGAATAAAGTATTGCATATGGGACTCAAGTTAACTTTCCAGAATGATCAGCAGGATGGGCTCAGCCAAGGCCACAGGGAGCAATTAAGACAAATGGAAGTGTCAAGGTCATGGCTGGCACTGACCAGCAGAACCTGCGGGGTTAATGGAACCCTGAGGAGCAGGCCAAACGTAGGCCACAGAACTCAAATAGTTGTCCTTTTCCCTTGATGAGTGATCAAACCAAAACTATCAATAGCTGCCCAAAGATGATTAATCTTAGGGACAAAAGAAAAGTAAAATCTGCTGCTGAAAAGAAAAGCTTACACTGAGTTGGTCAAACATAAAATAAAAAAATATTTTTAATGCCAAAGTTAGATGATATAGAAAAGTAATCGTTAAAGCTTTAGAGATCCTGCAGAACACAATTCTGAATATGGTATTATGTCTCCTCTTCATGCCCACTCCCAATACCCATCCAATGTTGCTAACTCTGGTTTCGATTTCTGATACTGTTGTTCCTCCTAAAGGCATGTGTGGATCCTGGCCAAGGCTGATTTGGATGCCTAGAATCAATATCAAGAGTGACCAGATCCAGTCAAACTAATTCATGGATAACCGCTGGCCTCTGACTCAGGCAAAAATTCAAGAGCCCCAAAATTCAAGAAACCAAAAACCCAAAAGTTAAAATATAGATATTTAAAAATATATATGTACATATATAGTATATGTTTGTGTATATATATTATATGTGTGTTTTAATATATATATATATATATGTGTGTGTGTGTGTGTGTGTGTGTGTTTATTGATTTCAGAGAGAGGAAGGGAGAGGGAGAGAGAGAGAGAAACATCAATAAGAAAGAAACATTGATCAGATTGGCTTCCTCCTGCAGGACCCTTACTGGGGAACCAGCCTGTAACCCTGGCATGTGCCCTGATGGTGAATTGACCTGGTGACCACCTGGTACATGGGATGACAACCAACTGAGCCACTCCAGCCAGGCCAACATATTTCATCTTTGATGTATTTCTTAAATTTTCCTTGGTCTTAGAGTATTGTTGTTTTTGGTGTGTTTTTTTTTGTTGTTGTTGTTTTGGTTTTTTTTTTTTTTTTTGTACTGTGGTTATTGCTTTTATCTTTGTGACCTAACATAATTGTCTACTGAACGCATTTATTCACTAGCTGAGAATTAAACCACACAAAAATATTGTGACCATTGGTTGTTGACTGGATATTTTCTGGTTCTATCCAGTCAAAAAAACTTTTTTAGAATGTTCATGGTATGAAATAAAAGAGACTCTGTAGGATTTTAAATTAAAATATTCTCTCCTCAATAGCAGTGTATCAGAGAGTAATACTGCCTTCTATCACAATCTGTAGTTCAATGGTGAATCTTGTTTATATTAGCATACATCCTATATAATAAAAGCCTAATATGCAAATTGACCAAACGGTAGAATGATCAATCGACAGGGGGCAGGGTCGGTGAGCAGGCAGCACTAGGCCAGCCAAGGTGGGTGCCATGGGCAGAGGGAGGGGATGTTGATCGGGTGGCAGAGGGGCAATTGAGGGATGGGGCCAGCTGCTCACTATTTGGTGCTGTCTCCCAATAGGCCCACAGGTCACCTCCCACAGAGAAGCAGGTTTAAACCATCAGGAATTTAAATATCAGTTGGACATCCTCCGAGGGCTCTTAGTCTGTGAGAGGGCACAGGCTGGGCTGAAGGTCCCCTTGTCCCTAAGGGCACGAATTTCCATGCACTGGGCCTCCAATATTACATCATTTTATTAGATTTAAATTTATAATCAATCTATAAACAAAGCACAGAGAACTAATTGTAGAACGGAATTTAAATATTATAGATCTTGATGATGTAAAATTAATAATATAATTAATTTAAAAACAAAAAGGAGGAACAGGAAGGAATGTGAGAGACAGTATACACACATTAAGTTCCTCATCTACCAC